TATATACTGTATATATATATTTTTGTTAGTAAAAAAACCCATAAAAAAATTTAATCCAATTTTCAAACAATTTTTTATTTAATTTTTTTTACTGATATAAAAAAACCAATAATTTTTTTATACTAAAATTATTTTTTTTTGACAATGATATTATCGATATAATATACTATCTCTAAATATACACTAGATATTAATAATAATAATAATAATTGATGACATTTATTTTTTATATATAGTACATTATGATTAAAAAAAAATTGTTAACAAAAATTATTATATAAAATATTTTTATTTGTGAACAGAAAAACATAATTAATTAAATTATTTATTTATTAAACATCAAAATGATAACAAAATATAACAAAAAATTGTATTAATGTTGATATAAAAAAAAATATTTCAAATCATGTATTTTTTCTAAGTTTAGTTTAAATGCATTAAAATTTTGATAAAATGTTATTATATTAAACTTTTTTTTGTTATTATAACTAAATATGTAAATTTGATTTTCTAAAAAAAAATCGCCCACAAAATCTATAAATTGAAATTTCATATATTTTATTTTTTTATTACAAATAAAATATGTATCAAAACATATACATACAATATATGAAAACATATTTATAATGAAAAAAAAATATTTGTCATATTAGAAAAACATCACAAATTTTTTGAATTTTTTTTTTATATATAGTTTATTTTGAAAATTATTTTGATAGGTTTCTCTCTCTCTCTCTTTCTCTCTCTCTCTCTCTCTCTCTCTCTCTCTCTCTCTCTCTATATATATATATATATATATATATATATATATATGTTTGTTATTGTATAGTTTTGTAACAAAAATAAATAAAAAAACAAATCTAGTTTTATATCAAAACATGTATATAAAAACATGTATATAAAAACCATGTTAAACAAATTTACCTATTTTGGATGTATGTATGTTTTTTTTAATCATCAAACTAGTAGCTAAATAAATAATATATATATATATAGATGTATTAATGTAAAGTTTTTAAAATCTATGTTGTTATTGAGTAATAATATTTTTTTTATTTTAATATTTACAGTATATAATAAAATAGTATTTTTAAGAATATTCTATATATAATATATATCTAGAATATAGTATATATATACTGTATATATATAGTTAACAACAATATTAATAATAAGAAATGTTAACTATTCAATATTGATTGACTTAAATGTAATACAAGTTGACATTTATATAAATATATTATATAATAAATAATCGATAAAAACAAATGTATATTAATACTGTATATATATATATATATTGATATATTAATAAATTTAGTATAACTAATAATATTTAAATATTAATACATTATAAAATATTATTATTTGATTAAAATTTTTTCTATATAAATTATTTTCATTAAACATATGCAACATTTGAAACCTAATAAATATTTTAACTTAATTTTTCTATTCAATATACAATATATACTATATATACTGTATATACTAATGAAGTCAATAGTTGTAAACCAGTTAAAGTTTGTTGAAAATAAATCAAATAAACACATACTTACAAACACACACTAATAAACACACACAAACAAACATACACACACACACACACACACACTCACAAACACACACACAAACACTCACACATACACATACACATACACATATACATACACACTCACAAACACACACACACACACACACATACACACATACACACATACACACATACACACATACACACATACACACATACACACATACACACATACACACATACACACATACACACATACACACATACACACATACACACATACACACATACACACATACACACATACACACATACACACACTCACAAACACACACACAAACACTCACACATACAAATACACATACACATACACATACACATACACATACACATATACATACACACTCACAAACACACACACACACACACACACACACACATACACACATACACACATACACACATACACACATACACACATACACACATACACACATACACACATACACACATACACACATACACACATACACACATACACACATACACACATACACACATACACACATACACACATACACACATACACACATACACACATACACACATACACACACTCACAAACACACACACAAACACTCACACATACAAATACACATACACATACACATACACATACACATACACATACACATACACATACACATACACATATACATACACACTCACAAACACACACACACACACACACACACACACATACACACATACACACATACACACATACACACATACACACATACACACATACACACATACACACACTCACAAACACACACACAAACACTCACACATACAAATACACATACACATACACATACACATACACATATACATACACACTCACAAACACACACACACACACACACACACACACACACACATACACACATACACACATACACACATACACACATACACACATACACACATACACACATACACACACACATACATACATACACACTCACAAACAAACACACAAACTAATAAACATATAAAGTTTACAAATTAATTGATTGATCAAGGTTAGTTAGGGTGTGTTATTGGCCTAATCCCTATTGGCTAAATGTTTCTACTATTAAATTTATGACTTAATTTATCATCATGGAGACTTAACACTTTTTATTTACATTATTATTGTTGTTGTTGTATTGGTAATTTAATAGTATAATCAAAAACGCACCCACCCACCCCACCCCCAAAAAAAAAATAAAAAAATCTACTTAATTTATAATTTAGTTAGTATATATATAAAAAAAATTTTAAAAAAAGGTAGTATTGCTAAACTTGATATACAATATATATATATATAAATATATATTGATATAAATAATTATTGATAATCTGAATAATTATAATAAATATGTTATTTCTTTAAAAAAAAATAAATAAATATTATTTAGATAATGTCAAAAAATTTTTTTTAAATATATTAATTGTTTATAATAATTCTTTTTAAAAAAAATAACATTTATAATAATAATAATATTTTTTGTTTTCATAACAAAAAATAATGGTATAGTTTTCGTATACACAAAAAAATAAAAATAAATAAATAAATGTTTGGGTATCAATTCAATAGTATATATTGAATCAATTGAATATACTGTATATATATATATATATATACAGTACTATCTCTATACTAATAATAAAAGCTCTCTCTCTCTCTCTCTCTCTCTCTCTCTCTCTCTCTCTCTCTCTCTCTCTCTCTCTTAGAGAGCATAACTAAGTGAGAGATAAAACTTTATGAGTTAACCCAAAACTACTACAACAACAACAACAACAAAATAAAAGTAATAATATATAAAAAAAAACTAAACAAAAATAAAATAAAAAATATTAACAAAAAACTTATTTATTTGATCTGTAAATCACGTCTACTACTACTACAACTACTACTACTACTACTACTACTACTACTAATAGTCTAAACATTATACGGTATATACAGTATATATATACCTTATATAATACACTATAATACTGTATTACTGTATATAAATATATATATATAAAAGCAATACAAACAACAACAACAACATGTATAGCGCTTCTCCGGTTGTCTTAACTTTTTCCTCCTAACCGATAACTCTTTGATCTCTAGACTATCCCTCACTCACTCACTGGCTTACTTACTCACCCACCCAACCACTCACTTACTCACTCACCCAACCAACCACTCACTCACTAACATTAACAACAAAAAGTTTATACTTATACTTATAAATTGCAATTTATCTGATTTACTATACTTATTGATTTGAAGTTTATATATATATATATTTTTTTTTGTTTTGTTTATTGTATGTATATATGTATGTATGTGTGTGTGTGTGTTATATTCATCCCCTAAACCAAATACTACAAAAAGTAATGTACACATTATATTCAATTTATAATGTGATTTTACTGTTATACACAAAAATTTATCACTTTATTTTTTTATATATTTATTTGGATTATATAGACAAACATTTAACACACACACATACATACATACATACATACATACATACATACATACATACATACATACATACATACATACATACATACATACATACATACATACATACATACATACATACATACATACATACATACATACATACATACATACATACATACATACATACATACATACATACATACATACATACATACATACATACATACATACATACATACATACATACATACATATACACACACACACACATACACACACATACACACACATACACACTCATACACACACATACACACACATACACACACATACACACACATACACACACATACACACACATACACACACATACACACACATACACACACATACACACACATACATACACACAAATTATTAATAATATCAAAAAAATATTATTTTATTAAAATACATTAGAGAATAATAATAAGCTAAATAGCTTTTACTATTATACTGTATATACAGTATATATATATATAAAACTAAAATAAAATTTTTGTGTGTATTTGATATTATTTAATACATGTCACTTATAGATATTAAACATATAAATATATATATATATATATTACTATATATTATACTATATTTATTTATATCTGTATATAATATATAATAAATTTAATATAAGATATAGTGTGTGTGTGTGTGTGTGTGTGTGTGTTTATAATCATTTAATAACAAATATAAGTAAATAAGACAAATGTCTATTAACAACAACAACAACAATATATATATATTAATAAATAAAAAACAAATATTTAGTTTATATATATATATATATATATATAATCCTAAACTAAAAAAATATCAAATAGTCGTCTATAACTCACCAAAAAAAAAATAAATAAAAATATAATACTAATCCAATAAAAGATAGACAACAACAACAACAAAATTATGACTTACCTTATAAGTGATGGTATTATTGTATTGGTGTCTATTGATTGTAAATGTCAGATAGTTGGGTATACAAAATATCGGACAGGCAATGTAAATGAAAAATATGACACACTTGGCCCGAGACATATTACACCATTGTTTGCTATCAGTCGGAAAACTATATATATATATATATTTATAAAAAAAAAATTAATTAAATTAAATTATTTAAAAAAACATATTAAAGTTTTGTGTGTGTATGTGTGTGTGTGTGTGTGTGTGTAAAAAAATTTGTATAATAAGTTAATACAGTATCATAATTCTGTATATTATATACAGTATATACTGTATATATTACACACAAACATTCATATATATATATATATATATATATATATACATGTATATTAATATAAGTTTTAATATTTGAATTTTAAATATTTATTATGAAAAAAAACATTTATCTATAATATATATATTAATTTATATAGTATATATCAAGTGTATGTGTGTGTGTGTATATATGTGTGTGTGTATGTAACACAGTATATATATATACTACTGTATATATAACAACTCACAAGTTATATAATGATATACTATATAAACATATAAATCTAATTTATATAATAGTATTTATAATATATACTTAAGGAATATTCTTTAAAAAAAACCTTAAAATGTTTTTTATTTTGAATAAATATTTTCTGTTTTCTTATGTTGTTGTTATTGTTTGCCTATTTCATCAAAAATAAAAAATTTAAATATATATATATATATATACTGTATATCGTAAATCATATTGATTTCCAAGTAATTTACATTAAATACAGTAAACTTTTATATAATATTTGTATCATTTTTTAAACAAAATTTTATATTAGATTTGTATCGAAAATAAGAAAAATATTTTTTGACATTAATTTAATTATTATTTCCCTGTTATATATATATACGGTATATATATATATAATGTATACAAATAGTAAAACTACTGTACAATATATACACACACATAGTAAGTAAATAACTTTTAATAATATATATTGAATATACATGTTATGCAATATCACTGTCAAAGCAAACAAACAAATATTACATTAACAACAACAACAAAATCTATATATACTGCTGATTCAATTGTCGTTATATAACTTTATATACAAATAAAATCGACAATCAATAATAATAATAATAATACAAAAAAAAAACAAATAATAAATAAAATCTAAATAATCAAATCAGTTTAGGGCAAACTGTGTCAGCACACACACACACACACACACACACACACACACACACACACACACACATACATACATACACATACATACACATACATACACATACATACACATACATACACATACATACACATACATACACATACATACACATACATACACATACATACACATACATACACATACATACACATACATACACATACATACACATACATACACATACATACACATACATACACATACATACACATACATACACATACATACACATACATACACATACATACACATACATACACATACATACACATACATACACATACATACACATACATACACATACATACACATACATACACATACATACACATACATACACATACATACACATACATACACATACATACACATACATACACATACATACACATACATACACATACATACACATACATACACATACATACACATACATACACATACATACACATACATACACATACATACACATACATACACATACATACACATACATACACATACATACACATACATACACATACATACACATACATACACATACATACACATACACACATACATACACATACATACCCATACACATACATACCCATACACATACATACCCATACACATACATACAAACACATACATACACACATACATACACATACATACCCATACACATACATACAAACACATACATACACATAGATACACATACATACACATACACACACATACATACACATACACACACATACACACACATACACATACATAGACATACATACACACACACACATACACTGGTTAATGTTAACCCCATATAACTATTACTACTACTACTAGCTATCGGCTCCCATGTGGTCAACACAACTGTGTGGGCAAATAGTCAGTCAGTCGACCAATTGTTTGACACACACACACACACTACTGATACTTACAATTATTATTATTAGTATTATTATAAACAAATAAGGCTAAAACAATTACTTATAGATAACAACAATAAGGATAGTATTATCTTATTTTTCTTAGAAATTATTGTCACTTTAATGAGAGTCACGTTTTTTATCAATAAAAATGCATTACTTTATGTACTATTATTTTACTATATATTTATATTATTTATTATAAACATATATGTGTTTTTCTATGATAACCCATTTACAATTCAAGGAGATTTAGGGGGGGACAGTTAGGTTGCGATGGTGGTGGTGTTGGTTGACCATAGGTCAAGTACATAGACATACATATTTACACATATACACACATACATATTTACATGCACTCACACATACATACTTACATATACAGGTATATATACACACATACATATACAAACACATACACACACATACATACACACACATACATACACATACATACACATACATACACATACATACACATACATACACATACATACACATACATACACATACATACACATACATACACATACATACACATACATACACATACATACACATACACACATACATATTTACATGCACACACACTTACATATTTACACATACACACACATACATACACATACATACACATACATACACATACATACACATACATACACATACATACACATACATACACATACATACACATACATACACATACATACACATACATACACATACATACACATACATACACATACATACACATACACACATACATATTTACATGCACACACACTTACATATTTACATATACACACACATACATACTTACATATACAGGTACATATACACACGCATACACACACACACACACACATATATATATATAGTATATATTATATACAGTACATACCTGACAGATACATATCGCCAGACGGCCAGTATAACGGTCAGCCATATGGATATAGTATGCGATACTATCGACGAGTGGGCATGAATTAGGGTAAACACTGCCCAACCTTTTGAATATTTTTCGCTATCCGTTAGGCCATAGCTAATGAAGTTGTGTATTGAAAACGGCAAATATGTGGTCATCACAAGCATATCGGCAACTGTTTTGATGTTTTTTATTTTTTTTTTGTTAAAAAAGACAAAATATAAAAAATATTAAATTATTATCAAAAAAATAAATAAATATTAAAATATAAATAATTTCTTATTAATAATAATATAACATTTAATAGTATTATTATTATTAAAATTATTAATACCATATAATGCTTATATAATAAATAATATTAATAAAGTTTTGCTAAAAAATTTATGTATATATTTCATTGATTTTTAATTTTTAACAATTTTCGGAAATAATAATTTCCCATGATAATTAATTAATAATTATGAATTATAATATATCTATGAAGTGTATAATAAAAATTTTAATTTTATTATATTATATTAAACTATATATATATATATAAAATATTTTTATCAATTCCTATGGGAGAAAAAATGATAAAATTATGAACTAATATATTATATTTAGAAATAAAACTATAATAATAATAATAATAATAGTATTCATAAATATAAAGAAATTATTTTCATGCATAAAATCTCAAACAATAAAAAATAATTATAATTTTTTTTTAAATGATATATTGCACACAAAAATTAAATTTTCAATATATTGATATATAGTATTCATAAATAGTTTTATTATTATATTATATAGAAAATAATTTTTATAATTACCAATAAATATATATTATGTGAATGTATTGATAACATAGTATTAGCAATGTATGTGTGTTTGTAATAAATTGATATATTATATAATAAATTATTATATGAATACAAAAGCATATACTGTATATATATATATATATATAAATTTTTAATTTAAATTAATAATAATTTATTTTTGAATAACAGTGGAAACATATACAACACAAATTTTAGACACAAATATGTTTCAATCATCGCTAACTGTAATTATAATAATATAAAACAGATACACACATATATTAATTATACAATATATATATACAGTATATATCTATATATATATACTGTATATAAATTTGCCTACAATTGTATTTTGTATAAACAATTTGCGGGTCCTTTATATTATATATATATATATATATAATAAATTATATAAATATAACTGTATTTATTTATAGATATACACTGTACTATTCAGGCGTGTATTAATTATTTTTATTTTTTAAAATATTTTTTTTTGTTGAAGTGATAACTTAGAGATAGAGAGAGAGAGTGAGTGAATGAGAGAGAGAGAGAGAGAGAGAGAGAGAGAGAGAGAGAGAGAGAGAGAGAGAGAGAGATGAAATAATAATCACTTAAGTGATCACTCATTTTCATGCAATTTTCAAATTATCAGTATTACTATTACTATTATACTACTAGGATTGCCAAATAATTATTTAGAAAACAATAAAATTATATTGTAGTCTATAATCATACTAATTGTATTGTTATTTGTTTGTTTGATTGTTTGGAAAATTTACTAATATATATATATATATATATATATATATATATATATATATATATATATATATATATATATATATATATATATCAAATTACTTGTAATTATTTTTAGTTAACTTAAAAAACATTTTATATTAAATTTCATGAATTAAATTTTTTTTTGAAAATATATATTTAATTTAATTATGAAAAAATTGTCAAGTTAGATTTTTTTTAAATAAAAATTGTTTAAAATGTTTTTTTTTAAATAACGATTATTATTATTTTTAAGAAAATTGTTTTTAATTAATAATTTAATTGATTCGCACAAAAAAACATAAATCTTATAATTATTTGGTTTTAATATTTTTTTTAAGAGGACATCCAGCAATCCTAGAAATACATTAAATATATATATATATATATATATATAGAAATCTATATAGAAATTTATTTATAGAAATTTACAGAATTTTTCATTTTTCTAAAATTTTATTATTATTATTATTATTATTGAATGTTTTATTAACATTTAACATTTAGAGTATATATATACAGTATATATATATATACCACACACACACACAAATATCTGATGATATTATAAACTACTGTAAAAATAATAAAGTATTTAATATATATATATATATATAAATATTGTATTTAATATATTTCATATGTCATAGGATTTTTCCGATGGGTAAAAGTATTTATATTTATAAATTTGAGGAAAAAAATAAAATAATAATTTATAAGCATTTTTTTGTGTGCTATAGTTGAGAAAAATTTCAAGTTATAATTATAACCAATAATTACTATATATATATATATGTATATATATATATATACAAACACACACACACAAACATATATATATATATATATATATATATATATATATATATATATATATATATATATATATATATATATATATATACAGTATATATGTATATGAATTAAATATACATTTTATAAATAAGAAATAGGATATGTTGTGTTGGATGTGTATGTTTGGTGAGGAACTGTATGTGTTTACAAATTACAACACACATATAGTACTTTATAAATATAATATATATATATATATAATGGTCACCTCCCGGTGCCCATTTAATTTAATTAATATAGTAGTAGTAAAGTATATATATCTATGATTACCTGCCAGTCCCGTGAGTATGGCGTTTGTCGGCGAAATCATTTCCTTTCTAATTATGTTTTATTAGATAAAAATTTGTAAAAAAAAATAAATTAAATTAATGTTATATTAGTATTAAATATAATCATCATTATCATTATCATTTAGAAAATAAATACATACTAGAAATATATATATATATATATATAAATTATATAATTCAAACTAATATAACCTAATCTATCCTATTGTATGTATATATATATATACTAATATAAATATTTCATATATACTTTAGATATTTATTATATATAAAAATTATGCAAAAATTACATTTTTAATTAGTTAAAAGCACTTAAAAATAGGGAAAATTACTTACTATTACTAGCATATTATAATTAACTTAATTTTGGATTTTTTAAAAAAATTTTTGTATATATATATATATATATATATATAATTTTTTAAATAAATTTGATTAGCATCTCTAGCTTAAAGTTTTTTTTATAATTATTTTTTTATCTAAATTTTAAAATTTTGTTATATTAATATAATTTTTTTTTGAAAAAATTAACATTATAACATACTGTATATTATTGTAATAATAATAATAATAATAATAATAATAATAATAATAATAATAATAAACTATTTCTACTGCAGTTTATATAATTTAATTTCATTTTATATTAGACATATCAAAAAAAAAATATTTACTAAATTAATTATTAAACCCATTTTTTTACTGTATTTATTTATTTTTATATATTAAATGTTTTATTATTATTATTAGGATTTCTATCATACCTATTACCTATAATTAATTTTATACTGTACTTAAATAAAATAAAAATCAATGTTAGTAATAATAATAATACTGTAATAATAATAAAATTTAGCAACAATTTAGCAAAATAAAAAGCAACATAACTGTCATTAAAAAAAATATTAGTTTCATTATTATTATTAATAATTAATAATTTAGTTATTAGTTTTGATAAAATATTTATTATATAATATTATATATATATATATATATATATATACTGTATCATTATTATTGAATTACATTGGTTTATAATTTAGATAATTTATAATTTATAACAACTATAGATATCTATATATAGTATATATATATACTATCAATATAATATAACCAACAACAACAAAAAAACATTGTATAAACAATTGAATGTATGTTTGCATTAAATAATTAAATTTCTAATTAATTTATTAATAAATAAATATCTTATATGTTATACAGTGTATATATAAATATATATATATTAATAAAAAAATAGCTAAAATAAATAAACATTATTTTTTTGTTTAAAAATAATATTTTATATACAGTATATATATATATATATAGCAATACTAAACTTATTGGTCGACACTAAATACCTGGTCAGCACCGTTATGTTCAATATGTTGGCTATTATGCCAAACAGGCAAACAATTACACTAATCCAGCCGTGAATCGGTAGATAAATTTCACGAAACTCGTCCAAACAATTAGATAGCCAATCGTATGGCCAGTAATCATTGTGGCCAATGGTGTCGGCAATACCGCCGCCATCGGCGACGACACCGATAGACATACCGGTACTGTCTATTAGGCCATAGTTGATGGTAGTGGTAGTGGTAATGGTAACGGTAGTTGTTGTTGTGGTATTCATTAGTAAACTATTGTTAATAATAGTATTACTTAAGTAGGAAACAGTCATTTATTATTAGTTTATTATTATTATTAGAAAATAGTAGTTATTTTTTGTTGTTTGAAGGTATAGTATATTATTTTTTTGTGGATAATATTTTTAGATAAAGTTTTTAGTTATTGTTGTTGTTGTTGTTGTTGCTTATATCACTAATGATGATCCATAAGCTATATCACTGGTAGATAATAATGATAATAATATATTTTAATTAATAATTTAAAATATTATATATATTTTATTATAATAAAAAAATAATAATAAACATTTAATATGTTTGTTGAATTAGCATACAATGTTATAATAATAATAATATTATAGGTATAGGTAAGTATAATAATTTTTTTTATATTATATATATAATATCAATAATTAATTTTAATATTTAATATTATTATTATTTTTAAAAAAATAAAATAAAATATTATGTTAGATTATATGTATAGATAATCAAATTATAATAAATATAATATAATCATCATAATATTTTTTGATCACTGATGCAAAAATTTATTATTATATTTAATAATAATATTATTATATATGTATAACAACTAATAAATTAATTTAATTTGATTTTTTCTGGCGTATATTATTCATACAACTTTATACTATAGTATATAATAATATAATTTATTTATATTATATTTTTTTTAGTTTTAAAAAAAATATTTTGTAATTTATTTATTAGTTAGTTTTGTTTTCAGGAGGGGTACAGTAGATATAATATATTGTTTAAACTATTAGCACATATACACACATACCAGTGCACAGAGAGATACATACAATCTGAGAGCACAGTTAGTTATAATTTGTTGGTTGGTTAGGTTAGGTTAGAGCACTAGTAGTACAGTAAGTACAGTAGTAGTAGACACTCAGGCAGCAGCACATAGACTACTGTTTCATATTATATTTGTTTCATACATCACTTTCATCTCCCGATTCTCTAACTTTAACTCTCTCTCTCTCTCTCTCTCTCTCTCTCTCTCTCTCTCTCTCTCTCTCTCTCTCTCTCTCTCTCTCTCTCTCTATCCTCTCATCTATTGATGTCTATTATATATATATATATGTCACACGATTGCGTTATATGTATATACATATTATATATATATATTAAATAATATATATATATATATATATATCATATGTCGGTTCAATGACTGAAAATATATAACTAAATAATAATAATAATAATATAAAGAGAAAATAAAACAACAATTATTTTGAATACATTTTTTTAAAAGCAAAATGTGTACATAATTCACATAACATTTTATTTTATCATAATATTAGATATATATATATAATAGTTATGTTATCCATATATGTCTACTAATAATACTAGTGATAAAAATGTGGTATTTATAAAATGCCAGCAATTTTTGTATATTATATATATATATATATAATGTTTGACAGACAATGTTGAAGTGTCTCAAACAAAACAGAGAAAATAAAATATTATTTTTATAAAAAAAATAAACGATTGATGGCTTAGCTAAACACAAAATAAAATAATAATAATAATAATATAATAATAAATTTAATAATTTTATTGAAAAGATTTTTCAAAAATAAATACCTTTTTAATAAAAAAAAAATAAAATAATATTTTCATAAAATTTTTGTTGTTGTTATTTTTAATTAATTAATTATATTTTTATGATATACCCTATTATCACATCATTTAAATATTAATAAGATTTTTGATTATGAATATTGAATAGAAAGTAATTGTTTTGATTTATATATATATATAAGATATTAATTTAATAATATAATATTTATACAGTAATATATATACATATAAAAAATTATTATTGCAAATCTCATACATTAGTGACAAATAAAAAATAAAAAAATAAATAAATATAAATAAAAATATTTTTTTGGCTCATTATCGGGCATAAAATATTATCACATTATATATATATACATATATATATATTTTGTTGTTTTGTTTTTCATTAGTTTATTTAGCATAAATTATATATAGTGTATATACAGTATATATAAAAACTGTTTTTAGTTTATGAAAGTATCATTTCAAACATCAAATAATAATAATAATAATAATAAAAAAACAAAAAAAAAATCGGTTAACAAAGTAAAAAAATAAAATAGGAAAAATCTAGTAAACATTTATAACATTTATATACAGTATATATATACTGTATACTAATGATATCATATGATATTTTTTTTGTTTATTTTTTTGTTGTTGGTTTATATTTATGTATTAACATAAAATAAGTGAAAATGTGTTTGAATAGCTTTTACACACACACACACACACACACACACACACACACACACACACACACACACACACATACATACACACACACACATACATACACTTACACACACAAACACTCACACATACACACACTCACACATATATACATACATACATACACTCACACACACACACACACACACACTCACACACACATACATACACACACACTTACATATAAATATACAAATAAACATTACTATATTATATTACTAAATTATTTTTAAATCTATCAACTATTTATCTAAACATTTTATTTTTTATTGTTTTTTAAAAAAAATAAAAATCAAAAATCAAAAAAACAGTTAACAAACATTATTTGTAGTAATTTAATACACAATTGACTCACAATATATACAATAGTTATATACAATATATATATATATATCATGTATTGAATTATGTATGCATTGGTGGTGGGGTTTTAAAAATAACTATACATTTAATAATAATTTTTTTTTCTCTCACACACATAAACACTGACACACACACACACTCACTCACTCACACTTACATAAACACACTCACTCACACACACACATACACACACACACACACAAACATACTGTACATACATACACACTCGCACTCACTGTGTTTATGTGTGTGTGTGTGTGTGTGTTATGTTTTAAAAGATTTAATATATATACTGTATTTTATTTTATTTTTTTTTTGTTATATTTGCATCACTAGTATTACTAATTTGTATAGCATTTCTAATTTAAGACATAACTTGTATGTAAGCATATATGACACAAATCATTGGGGAATCTATTACTTTATATACAGAATATAAATATATATATATATATATATATTAAATATTTTTTTCAAATATATTATATATGATTATTAAAGTTTAGTAAAGTTTATATTAAATATATTTACTTATATTATGTTATATATATATGGCATCAAATAATTTTTAGTAAAAATATTATTTTAATAAAATCCAAACATTTAATATAAAAAATTTATTTTTTACTAAAAAAATAATATATTCTCTATAATTCTTGAAAAATTATGTTTAATAAATTCAAAAATTAATAATAATAATAAATAAAAATCTAAATAAACAAACATAAAAAATTTATATTAAAAAAGTTATAGATTTTAAATATATATATACTGTATATATACAGTACTACTATTATTATAAAAAAAATTATTAAATTAAAACAATGTATTTATTTGTATATTTATATAAAAATAGTAATAATTACTAATAGATTTTCATTGAATTTTAAAATAGAGTTATACATAGAATATTCTGTACATTAAATTCTCAATTTTTCTACAAATAGTCTATTATTTTATATATTTTATATATTTTTAATATTTAAAAATTGCTAAAACATTGTACAGTATGTATGTATATGTTTTTGTTATTAAAATCATTTAAATTTTGTTTAAAATAAATTATAAAATAATTTAAACACATAATACAATATTTTATTATTAAACAATAATAGTATTTTAAACAAAATTTTTTGTTAAACAAAACAAAAGTTATTTTTAGACAATAGATGAAAATATTTCCAAAAAAATATTTGTTTAAATATAAGCCTTAAAAATCAAATATTATTATGTTTTTTACTGAACAATAATTTTATTATTATTATTAAAAGTTTTGACATAATATCTGTATATAATAAATATTATAGTAATCGATATGTTTGGGGACATTGAATGTTAAAATAAAATTTATTAAGTTTTTTTGAATTTCCTTTATATGTAGAAAAAAAATTTTTTTGTAAGTTTTTTCTCTATAACAACAACAACAACAAAATAATTATATCTTTGATGAAAACATTTAAATTTTTATTATTTATATACAATAAAAATGTTTGACAGTTAAAAATTTTTATTTGTTATTTGTTATTATGTGTTATTTTAGCTTATAACTCATTGAAAGTTATGTTTAACTATTATTATCGTTATTATTATTATTAGGATTATTATATTTACTGTATGAAAATAATAATGTAAAATAAATTTATGCTAAAAATTTATAAGTAACACAAAAAAATCTTTTATGTTATAAATATTTTAATAGAAACTTATTATTATTATTATAAAACTAGTATAAAATATGATATTAAAGTATATAAAAATTTTTAATACTATTATTTATATATTATTAAATATTTATACACAGAATATTCTTTATATATATATTTAAAAATTTTAATTAATATTTACCTAAACTTTTATTTAAAATAATTTTTATGAGTTATTATTATTGATATTGTTTTTTAATAATATTTTTAAGTAAAATATATTTAAAATATTTAGTGTTTCAATAATTATTTGAATAAAAAATTTATTTGTCTATTATTATCATAAAAATCTAGAAAATTACTGTTTGTTTACTAATTTAAGTAATTTAATAAAAGATTATTAATAAATATTTACTTATTTAATAATATTATATAGTTTTAAATGATACTAAAACTTTTTAAAAACAAAATCAATATTTACTTATTTTTAATTTTTAAAAACTAAAATATATTATTATTATTATCTCAAGTGTTAATTATATGAAAATTATTTTCAAGTATTTATTTTTTATTTTAACAAACTATAAGTGTATACTTTTAATAGTAG